GGCAGGGGAAAGGAAAGAAGGGAAAGGAAAAATGATGAGAAATGGAAAAAATGGAAATAAAGTCTTTATAAATAGGGAAGGGTGGTGGGGGTGAAGGCAGGGCTAGGAATGGGAAATAAATAAGAATCAAGACGCATTATGTAAAGGTACAATTCCCAATGAGAAATGTAATTGTGTTGTATACCTAAAATCTACCAATAAAAGAATTTAACAAAAAAAGAAAAAAGAAACTGGGATTATATGTGATATAAAAGAATTAAAAATGCCATTTGAAACAGAATTTATGATGTATGTGTACTTTTTGTTTTTGATAAATGGAAAGTTGTTATCAGTAGACAATGTAAAACTCATGTTTCCTGGGGTGTGGGGAATGCAGTAAAAGATTATCTCTTAATATATCCATTCCATGTCATTGAAGCTTAAATAAAATTTAAAGACCCTATAAGGACTTGTGAAGTGTCTTAATATAAGTTTTCAGTAAATATTGATAGCTACTTTCACTTTCTAAGATTATTACAGACTAAAGTCACTGAACTTATGGAGACTGTGTTCATAAAATAGGAATCTATGCTTGCTTCCAAAGACTGCTGGATCAAGAACATGGCCAACAATCAATATTTCTGCCCTGCAAAATGTCACTTGCAGACACAGACACAGTCAGTCACGGGGACGACCCACACTTGCCCTCCTCCTTGTCCTGTGTCTCTCTGGTCCTTTATTACCATCAAGGGGATGTGCCACTGGGAGGTGGTGTGGGCCACATCTGTTAACTGGTAGAGAAGTGCCAGGGTGTCTGGCATCTATGGCAAATGCAAAACCAGCACAGCAGCCTGATTTCCACCTGAGGATGAGCAGGACAGCAGCCTGAATGCTGTGACACCACTGGGGACCAGCCTAAGCCAAGCCCTACTGGATCAGTACATCCTAGGCTGCAAGTTGCTGACTCTGGCCTCTGTGGCATCCTGGAGAGATACTTCCTTAATGGGAAACTGACATCCATCCAGAAGACAGGGGCCCCCAGACTCAACTCCACAGGCAGGATGGATCCAACCTGGGCTACAGCAGTGTCATCTTCAAGCTGGCTAGAAACACACACACACAGACACACACACAGTCACACACACACACATACACATGTGCACACACACTTTCTCTCCCTCTTTCTCACACCTCTACCTCTCCAATGATGCAGAAGACAAAGACACCCACTCATATATTCTTAAGAAAATAAACAAAAATAAAAGAACAAGAAAATTGTCATTGAACAAAGAAGACTATTAATTTGTTTTAATTAAAATACATTACACATTTTCATTGTTTATGGTTATTCTTTAAAAATATATATCAAATGGGGAATTTCCATCAAATCCTATACCAATACTGCAGAATTATTATACTTGGTCCCTAGTAAGTTTAAAGTCTATTGTTTTGTTTACTTTCATTGTGAAATTCTTTCACAATGTTTGTGACAACTGAGGAAGGTTCCAGTACAAATAAGAGATAGGAATCAGTAGCTACATTTGGACTTGAATTATACCAAAGTGGTATATCTTCCACAAAAGCTATGACATAAAAGCAGACACAGCATGCTCCAACCTAACCCTTGTAATTCCAATCTCTCATTGTGTTGTCTGCTAATTTCCTGTGGGCAAAAATACATCTTCATAACTCTACAAAGTTGTAATAACAAACACCAAGAGCTTTGTACTGTGGTGAGATAACTATAACATGAGTTAATGAAATAGAAAATAAATGGTATTATAAAAGTTATTTTTGATCAGCGTACTTTCTTGCTTTAAGCCTTTCTGGACCAAAAACAGTAGGATTTCTTATTTTGTCTTGTTGAGTGTGCTTAAAATAAAAGTTCACAAACATTCCCTCAGGTCCATAATTCTTTCAAACAGCCAATGTACCCATTAATTTGAAAAGCATGTTAAGTAAGGCCTAGGAGTCATGGCGACAATGACCTGTGTTAATTTTACAAGATGCTTTTCCCTCAGACACCAGTCTTGGAGGTGATCCAGTTGCGGTAGGCTGTCACTCTCGTGTAGATGCCTGGCTTATTGATTTTGCCACATTCATCTCCCCAGCTCACAATGCCAACAAGGTACCAAATATTTCGAGAATTGGGATACACTAGTGGTCCTCCAGAGTCACCCTAAATAAAACAAAGAACATTGTTATTATGACCATTTCCTTTTGGATATATTAGTTTGTGATTGGTGCTTCATAGAGACTATAGAAAGGCAAATTATATAAATGACTGTGTATTTCTAACTTTAACTGTGACTGACCAGAATACATTCTCTGGGTCTTTCATGCACAAGGTGTGATCTGAGAAGGGATGATTTGAGAAGTTATAAAGTCTAGTTCTACAAGAAAGACGGGAAACACATAACACAGGTATACCTGAAATTCAGGGTCTCATATCTGAGAAAAGTAACTAGAATCATCTTACACGAAGAGGATAAGAAGGTAGGAAGACTTTACAATGGGTGGAAAGTGACTCAGGCATTTCTGAGACTGATCTTTACTGAGACGTGGTAAGAGGATAAATTCTGATGCTGGGTCCCAGAGAATTGTATGCAGTCCTGACACTTACTAGGGTATGACCATGTGTGAGTACTGTGCATTCCTCTGTCTCAGTTTCATCTAAAAAAGAATAATGGTAGTGCTGAGATATTGAGATTGTTGAGATGAGGGCTGAATAAATGACCATTTGCAAAGAAATTAGGACAGTGTTAGCCCAACATAAGTGTTTGTTAATTATAAATACATGTTACATGTAGGGAAGAATATTTTTAGTGTCAAAGCTAAGAGACACTGACAGAACTGTCAAAGAACACATTAACTAAAGCATAGAACTGTCTCCATGTTGATGACTTTCATAAAATAATAGCTGTTATTTATATACTAGGTGGTCAATATGAATAGTGTCCAGAATTACCTGACAGGCATCGATATTTCCTTCCACGTAGCCAGCACATAGCATTGTGTCCTGTATCATGCCATCATATGCTTCTTCAGCATTACACGTGTTTGTATCAATAATTTTCACAGGTGCCTTCTGAAGTAACACTGGGAATTTACCTAGAGGAAATAAATGTCATCAGCAAAAGAGCCACTGTGAAACAGGGCTGTATCCTCTATGCAGAAGACCTCTGTTTAAATGTTGCTCTTTAACCATTTAACTTTGAATGAAAAGGCCTGCCCAATTACCTCACTCAAGCCTATGAAAAAATAATTTGAAGCTATGAAATACAATTTGAAACATCTTTTAAATGCTGCCTTTCAAAGTCCTTCTCAAACCTGAAACTGTAAGAGACTAGAATGGAATGAACCACTCTCCCTCCACAGACGTGACTGTGCTTTGGGTCCATCACTTAAGGTTTAGGTGTCATCTTCCTAATCTGAGAAGTGGCTCCCAACATAATCTACACAACCAGTTTCTTGAAAAAGTTGATGTTGAGGATGAGGACGACCCCTTGGGAGGATTAGAGGATTTCTCAGAGTAGCACCGGCCCAAGAGGGAAGAGTAGGAAGCATTCTGACAAAAAGAGTTCTGCAGACAGGGCTGGCAGCCAGGGAAAGGGCCAAGCCGAGGAGGGAGTCAGGAAGATACAGTGAAGGACACAATGGCCATGGCCAGCGAATTGGAGGCTCAGTAAATAAAGACCTAATTAGATGGTGGTATTCTCATGCCCAGATAGAACATACTTATACCCCTCTAAAGAACACCTTTGCTCTGTTAAAAGTTATAATTAGTGGTACTTGCACAAGTACACTTGCTACCTATCCCAAGTTCCTACAGGCCCACTTCTAAGTCCAGCTTTCCTGCTTGTAACCCCATAAGTTGATCTCAACTTGGCTGAGATGTACTCCTTTTTGTGTATAAAAACTCCTAGACAGGAGTCCTTTTGGCAACCCATTTGTCCTTCACCAGGTTCATTAGCCTGGGGGCTCTTTACTTTTGCTTTACAAATAGATGATGTGTTCTGCTTTCACTCTACAATAAATTCTTTTGTTTGGTCCTCTTTTGATTCTAGTTTGTACAGTAATTCTTTCTGGGTAGAAAGAAGAACCCATCAGGCAGATGGTAACATCTTTTGGTGTCCAATACTGGGCTTAAGGAATTAGTTCTCTCTTAACTCTCTGCCTTGTCATTCTTTCTGGGATGAGAGAAGAATTCACCAACTGGATGATGACAAAACCTTTGGGCCAGAATCTTCTCCATTAGTTTCTCCTAGTAAGGGAGGTTCTATATCCATACTGGTCTCCTAGGAATATTCCAAACCAAGGCAGTTTACAGTCATAATTCCAGATGCAATATTCCTTAAGAAATCACCTGAGACTGCTTGATAGCCAGAGGCAAATAATGCCTTGGACTCTGCAACTCAATTGCTTACTTTTCTTGTTGCTTCTGAAACTCACAAAGGATGTTAGGTTTTCTCTCGGGACTTACCATCATAGGAAAGTGCTCCCCATCCTGTGACAACAACTCCTTCTCCAGGCAGAAATATCTGTGTGGCTTCAGGAAGACAAACTCTATGCACATAATTTTTAAATAAAACTTTCTCAGTGAGCCGTATAATTGCAATATCATCATGATGTTCACCTTTAATGTAGCCTTCATGAATAATAATTTGTTGAACATAATGTTGCATGTAGGGAGGAGTCACTTCAGTGCCAAAGCTAACAGCAAAGTTTTTTGGATTATCCGTCCTAAGGAAACAAAAATCCTGTTTTTTATTTATTTCAAAATAGCAAAATACTGCATTCTATAGCAAATAGAGGAAATTCTGCATCTACTCTATGCTTTTCATGATAGTAGTATTTCATCTCTCTGTATTCCATTGCAATAGTACAATATTATTTTTTAATTCATTTGAAATATCTTGCTTGAGTTCCTGTACCATATTCTATGTAAGGCAATAGGGATATAAATTGAAAATAAATAGCATATGCCTTCAAGAAGCTAAGTCTAATCAAAGATGAGCATAAATACTGGCAGTCATAACAATTGTTTAGATACTTGAGTGTGTAATTAGTGGGAACGCAAACAGGAATTAAATCAGTATGTTTAAGGGAAAGAAAGATTTCTTAGGGAAAATAGCATCTGAGACAGGACTAAGTCCTATTTGCCTAAAAGAGAGTAGAGTAGACATGTGAAGAGAGAGGAGGGAGTATGAAATAGGATATTATATTTTAGCAACTGGAGTATAAAGTGATGAGAGATAAGACTCAGGTAAGAAGAAGTACAGTTATCAAAATTGAGAGACTTCCCATGGTCACTGGTAAAGTGGGAAAGGCTTGGATAGGCAATGTAACTTGTTTGTCAAACTAGGGCCCTTCTGAGGATGAAAGTGCCACCTAGGAACTGAGCAGGGAAACAGGAAAAAAATGGAGAAGCGTGGGGTGTTGGTTTCCTGGTCTGCAGCAATGAACTCACTTTGTAAAGCAGTGAGCTGCAGTCACCAGGAACACCTCACTGATCAGCGTGGCCCCGCAGTAGTGCCTGCCGTTCATTTTGAGACTGGCCTGCCATGGCCACTCGCCCTCCTGGGCTGTGGAGCCTCCCTTGATTCTGTCATGTGTGGCAGATATCCTCGCTCGTCTCCCACAGCCTGTCAGAGAGGGTCAGTCTTGTTCATCGAGAATACAGATAATATTTATTTACTTATTAGTTTTGTAGTTATAATTTCTGTTTGATTGCTTGATTGACTGATGTTAGCAATGGGAATGGAATGCAAGGCTTTCTCACTGAACTACATTCCCAGCCCTTTTAGAAAAGTTTTTATTTTGAGACAGGATCAGACACTAAATTGCTCAAGCTGGGGTCGAATTTGGGATTCCCCTGCCTCAGCCTCCCAGTGCGCTAAGATTACAAGAGCACACCACCATGCCTAGCTCAAGATAATGTTTACTTGATTACAGAGTAGACAGCGAGTTCAGTTGCCCTATATGCTTAAATCTGATAGTACCATAACTGATATGAAGGAATGTAATCCATACCAGAATCTGTAGGAGCCCTGGGTTCTCTCTTCCCAGGCAGACACCCCTGAGATGCTGCAGAACTTGGAGAATGAGGAAGCTGCTGCCTAGGGGAGGGAACTTTGACCTTGACACTTATTTACAAACAGTCTGAATCTAGGCAATTATTTCACTTTTTTGTGCTTCTGTTATCTCATTTCTAAAATGAGATTACAATCATGTCTATCTCTCACATTGCTATGGAGTTTGAATGAATTCTCTTATGAAAAGCACTTATAACTGTGCCAAGAATAACAAAAAATCTCATATTTAATTTAGAAAGTATTCAAACTTACGGCTGTTGATAATTTTTTCAGCGTTGGATTTACTGATTTCTGAAATAGAACAAAAAAATCACAGTAAATTTCATACCTATCTATTGATTGTAGAGCAATGAAGAAAGTTGGTCCAACAGAACAGAGCAAGAGTGTTGAGAAAGCATTTTTAACCTCAGGGTAGAGTGGATAGAAAAGAGAGATCAATTTATTGAAATTTTACTTTCACTACAGGTGCATGGAATATGGAAGTACCGACTTCACAGTTCTATGTGAGAGACTTCATTTTTATTTATTTGGAATGTATTCTGTATTGTCTAAAGTGGAAAATTGTAATTCACCTCCCTTAGAAAAAAGGAAGTCCCCACAAATGATCTGATTTCTTTCAGTATATAAAATTAACTTTTAGAAAGTGACCTGTCTTGTAATGGCAGATCTACATATTCATGTTTCAGAAAGTTATAGGAAATCATGAAAAGAAAATTAAATCACACCATTACTTATGCACATTGTTTAAAATATTAAAGTCTACTTTAGAATGAGAAGCAGTTATAAGGCATAGCATTATTGTAACTTGAATGTGTGTTTAGTAATGAAGAATACAAGTAATTGCTCTATGGTTAAATGACATTCATTTTAAAATATGGTGAGGCTCAGTGTTGTGCCTGGTGTTTGTGTTGCATGTTCAGGACAAAGTGACAACAGCAGCACCACTCTCATCTGGGCAGCTTACCCACAAGCTTAAGAGAAGTGGGGTCTGTGGTCAAGGATCCCAACTGGCTCCTCAGCATCTGACGTAAGATGCTCTCAATTCTTCTTCTTGTGTTTTCCTTCCTTGCTCTGGAATCCTTGAATACCAGCCATATGTGTGCTGTCACACTGTTGCCATCAGGACTGGAAACATAAAGATTCTATGTACTGCTAAAAATATCATTTCCTTCTTCAGCTCCTGATCTTTCCTATTTGGAATCTTCTCCTCTTTTATGGACTGTGCCTAGATGAAGCACTGGCTCAATAGTCTGCCAACATGTACATAGCAATAGTATGTGTGAAGTTATATTATTTAGTTTAGAAGACAAATAATTTTACAAACCTGAAAAAATAGGAAAAGGCTGAAGCATAGAGTAAAGATATAATCTAAGAACTGGGATCATTTATTTATGCATTCATTGGTCATTTACTGAGCTGTTGATATTCAGTTGGTTAGGAGCCATTGGGCAATGCTAAGGTAAGTTAAGACAGGGTTCCACCCTCAGGGAATTTTCAGACTTTTACAAATTACTCTAATAAGGACCAAGATATTTATTTTAAGGTATTCAGAGGAAAGATAAGTCTTTTTTCACTTAAAATGATTGGGAAACTTTTCATGGAAGAGGTGATGTGCAAAGTAGAACTTATTTTTATTGCTGCTTTATTATCAAGCAGAAAATTTCATCAGAGAGGAGAAGGAATAATACCACAGAATAATTGGATTTTAATAATATTAATTAGCATTTATTTGGCATCTACTTTTCCTGGCACTTTGTCACCACAGTTATTAGCACATATTTTGTTGTATTCACAATACACTGAAGTGTTAAGCACCATTATCTTTTTTGTATACAAGGAAAATTTTAGGTACTGAGAGATTATGTAATATTCTCAGGGATATGTGGCTACAAAAATAAGATTTAGATCCAGTGCAATGGATTCTATAACCTGTGCTCTTCACACTGTACTCCTTCACCCTGTGCCTGCTCTCCCAGCGTGTACATTGTCAGGTTGGATGAGGGCATAGGAATAGCAGCAATGAGGAGGTTAATCTGACCATGGTATTCAGGGAAGATTTATTTGGAACTGAGGAAAGGATGGACGGCCCATGAGGCAGGGCCAATGGACATGCAGAATGTCAGGAATCCTAGAGGTCAGCCCCTGAGGCCTCACTGTTGTGCTTTGGGTCTCTCTAAGGGACACTCAGCATTTTGGCATATGAATCAATAATAGTTTCTACAAAGCACTCTGTTCACATAAGTTTGATTTTTGTATCAGTGTGTGCCAGAATGAAAAACTCTGTCCTATGGTCTCTCTGTGGCTATAGCTGACCTATGCTACCTAAGGAGATCTGAAGTTGCATTCATGAGAAAACAAAGCAGAGTGGCTTTCTCTGAGAGGTGTCTGGAACCTTCAATTTTAGTTTTCCATTTCTGTCCAACACTAAATTGACCCCTCAGATTAATTAAAATTGGAACCATAATCTATTATGCAATTTCACAGGTCATATAAGTCCAGGAAGAGGGGAAGAAAGGCAGGCATTGGTGGCATTGAGGATAGTAAAACCAATAATCACCTTCATGCAAATGTGTTGATTTTCAAACATTTTCACACACATTTGCTTTTTGATTCTGAGTATGGTTCTATGAGTAAGGCATGACTAGTGTTATCATTGTATTTCATAGGATAGAAGAACAAAATCAAGGTGATACAGTGACTCACCCATGACTCAAGGACTACTGAATGGCTAAAGCTGAGTTTAAATTATCTAACTTCATTTGAAGGGATCCCTGTGCTATTCTTTACTATTCCAAACCCATGCGAAGGGAACACAGTATAGTTATTTTACTTCTTGTAAACCTCTCTCCATGCTTGGAGACTAGACTTTTTTATGGTGACTAGAAGGTGATCCTCGGTTTCAAAGCTTGGGTATGGATATGTTGTCTTCCACACTACATCTAAGAAGAAACTTAGGGACAGATTCCACTAGAGGTTTAACTAACTTGCAAATAGAAACACAGGAGAAAATAGGGTCCATATTTATGGTAAGGAGAAACAAAAATATTAGAGTATCAAATATTTGTCTAAGAGACTGTTTTCTGAACATAAATACTTATGAAATTAGAAGAATAAGTCATTCATAATTTAAAGATCAATAATTTTCAATAGATGTAATGAACTCGACAATATAGCCCTAATTTCTGCTTTGGTTTTATGCTGAACAATAGGTCTGACATTTATGATAGTTTTAGATGTTAGTAACTTATTGTGTAATGAACCTAAGCTTTCAATAGATTTTTTAACAAAGAAATTTGAAGTCTAATGGTATGTCTGGTGGTTTGATCTCTTTTTGTTGGTAAGTGTTAGTTACTTACACCAGTGTGATAACTTGGGAATTGATATATTGTCTGTAAATATCAGAATTTTGAAATGCATCAACCATCTGTTAAAAGAAAACAGAGTCAAATATCAAATTTTACTATTTTTATATTTTAAATAATTAACAATCAAACATAGAAAAATGCTAACTTACCTTGGTTTCAAGGATTTTACTAAGATAGTTATTTTCTTGTGATGTCTCCCTTTCATAATTTCTATTATATGGGATATCTAGCACTTCAAAGCTTCCTTGATAATAGTTAGTCCTATTTTCTGTAAGATAAAGAAATGATCCAAGAATTAAATTAAATGGACTTCAAATCTAAATATAGTTTGCCTAATAATACCAAATGATATATATTATTCTAAATAGATATTAATAAACTCATGTGAATCTTTCTAGTACAGTTGATTACATAATACAAGCACTGTGGAAAGTGGTGTAGCACTGATAGTGGAATACACACACATACACATACACACATCAAAGAAAGTTCATGAATAAAAGTAGCACCTTGATTGAGACAGAAAAGAATACATACTATAATGAGATTTCTGTTTACACTAGTCAATTGTCTGATTATGAATTAAAATAGTTACTATGTATTATCTACTATAATATAGTAACCATATGAAGATACTTCAGACATTATGAAGTACATGTTTTCAGGTGAAATATAATATTAGAAAGATTAAATAACTTGCCCAATATGGTATGGTTGTTACAAAGAGCCAAGAATAAAAGCGCAATCTGTGTCACACCAAAGCCCACAGCTAACTCATTACATTTCTTTCCTAAAATTCAGAGATACAAAGCTACTTGATATATGTCACATCTCTAATATGTGATATATTTCATATATATACAGCAATTAGGAATGTGCTAGGTTCTGTGTACAAGTATAACAAGAACTAAGAAAATGTTCCTTTACAAGATAACTGCCCTTGAGTATCATCTTGTGAAAGAGACAGGGTCATTACAAATGAAATCAATACATGAGGGACTAATATATATATATACAATTCAGTGATGAACCTGAGTTTTCATTTGCAAGTTATTATATATGGATTAAAAGAAGAGGAAAACCACAGTGAAAACAAAATATGTAAACAAGTAAAAAAACTTGTCGTGGTGTGATAAGTGCCCAAGAAAGAAACACTCACAAAGTGCAAAGGTAGCCTGGAAGGAAGAGGCAAAGGTACCTTCCTAAGGAGGGTCTGTGAGAGAGAAATGAGTGTCTGCATGGCGGGGGGGGGTAGCTAAACTAGTTTGGTGGTATTGCTAGAGTGTTATTATAAATGTTAAATATTTTACAGTGCAAAATTGATAGAAAAAGAAGTTAGGAAGTCTCAAAATGCTGAAAATGCATTGATTATATGTGATTTATAAATAAATATTGTTGATTGCAGTTAGCCAATTCATGCATGGGTCATTTATTTTTCATTATAGAGGCCAAATTTTACAATTGTAATATATGAAGTTATACCATAAGCAGCAAAAAAGAGCTTAAAACTCTTCAACCTCTTTTACATAACTAAATGTTCACAGTGTATCTTTCAATTCATTTGGATTCCTAAATATTTCTTTCTACTACATCATTCAGCAGCCATGAATATTCCTTAAAGTAAATTAATAAATTGGGAAAATGTGACTTGCTTTTCTACACTAGAAAGGAACACTTTTCCCAGACACAGTAGACAATTCAAATATTTAATACCTAAGACAATTCAAGGCTAAGAGACCATGTAGTAAAACAATGAAATCGACTTCCGAGTATCTTCAGTATAGCTATCCTAGTGGGACACTGCAGCTGTTCATCAACTGTGCTGGCTCACTGCCAATTCAAACATCATGCTCAGCTGGCACCAGAGAGGTGACAGTGACCCCTGGTGGTAAGAAGCCTTCCACATGGACAACATTCCATCTTTATGAGTAGCTCAAATGCCAGTGTAAATTGAGGAAGGTGGGTAAGGAGACAGAAAGAAGGAAAGCATTGCATAACTTTTTCCATTACCCGATTAGTTACTACTTATTTCTGAAAAGAAACTTGAAACATTCATTTGTTTTAAGTGTGCTCTAAGGGCCGGAATGTAGCTCGGTGGCACCGCACTTGCCTCCCAAGCACAAGGTCCTGAGTTTGATCCCCAGTACCAAAAAAAAAAAAAAAAGAAGAAGAAGAAAGAAGAATGCTCTAGATGTCATGTCCGGATTTAAGCATGAATTCTTATGAGACTTCTATTTAAGGTTGATAAAGTAAAAACTTTCCTTCTACCTTCTCCTACCTCTAAGCCCAGAAAAAGAAGAAAAGACAAAAATATCAGGCTTTGTTCCAAGGAAGCTAAAGAAAACAATCACATCTCTGAACCAAAACTTATGATACAAACATGCCCTAAACTATGAAATACATAATAACATGAGAAATGATATAGATCAAAGATACTTCTCATAAGTGGAGCTAGATGCAGATTTTTCTAAAAGCTCTCCAAAATTAAAATAATGAGACTTTAGGTTCTGAAGGAATAGCTAAAAAATATTTATGTAAAGACCTACATAATGTAGACTGGCAGAAGAAAAATCATACTAGTGTGCTGTTTTTATTGTATATGAAATAGTCTTCCAGGTAGGGCAATCTGCTGGAGGTAAGATGGGGTTAAAAGGTGGGAGGCTGGGATCACTGTGTTATAATTCAGAGTGTGCAAGTTAGACCACTTTCCTCAGGGGCAACTTGGCTTTCTACATGTTAACAATTGAAGATGAATGCATCTTAAGTTCAAAAACAAAATAAAAGATATAAGAGAATGCTCTGGGCGAAAGCCTTTACATAAGCTGCAAATTCTCCAAGTCCATAACCCACTCCTAGGCCTACTTCCCACTGGATTCTTTAAAAACCATGTGACCCAAATCACAGAAAGTGACTAATAATTACAAAGGTTCCAACAGGGACCTTGTATACAGGCGTTACAGTCAAAAAGAGGAAAGGACATAAAAATAAGAGCAGGCATTATTAATGGAACAAAGGGCGAGTTTCAGCAACTAATTCCTAAGGTTTTGAAGATATTGTAGACAAAAGAACTCAACAATATACATAGTTAAATGAAGAAGAAAAGTAGAATAAATGGAAGTCAGAGGTAAAAGCCACATTGGATATGACATATAGATTGAAAATAGTGTGACATACAGGACAGGTTTGAGCAAAATAAACAAAATGAAATGGAAAAGGAAAATTTAAATTATTACTGAGGAAAGAATGACACAAAAGCAAAGCAGATCTAACAAATACATGACTGATGCTTCTGAAAAAAGAATTGAACAAATAGGTTTGAATATGTAGCTTGAAATGGCCCATTGTGTTGTATGAAAAATTTAAGGATAAACACATTAAGACAGACTTAGCTTGGTGAATTCAACAAATAAAAGAGCCTATGATTATTCAGGTTAAAAAAATAAGGACAAAATAATTCACATTTATAAAAGGGACATTTTTCAGGATCTTTGCTCTGACACCAAATAGATAAAAGATAAAGGAATAATTTCTAAGGAAAAGATAGTGTAAACAATTTTTTGATTCACTATTATTAATTAATATATGTAAATTCTGAGAAATTCCAGCAGCTTAAAACCTTAAAAGAATGACTTCAAGAAGATATATAGCTATTGCTACCCTGGACATGAATCATAAAATTCAACAATCAAGAATATTCAGTTAAAGACGATAGATTTAGCTAATACTATATCTAAAGGTGACTTTTCCAAAATCCCCTTAAAAATGACAGGAAAAGTGCTTAAGTGTTAGTTTTAAAGTCAACCCACAAAGAAGTAAGAAGGGAAGAAGAGATAACAACAGTTGTATGGAAGCTGGAGGGAGGAAAGAGACAAAGAGCCTGAACCCCAAGATAGCAGTGGGAAATGTAAGTGCTGTTTTAAACCAAAGAATCCTAAATGGCAACAGGTAAGGAAGATTGGTTAAAACAGCTAGATCCCAGTGTCTTCCCCAACTATTAAGGTTTTTAGCCCAAGGAGACTGAGACAATTGAAATTGGAGACAAAATTTCTAAATATGCAAAAGTTTTAAATTCACCTCCTCCCAAGTTGTCTACAAAATGCTAGACACCACTATTATATGCATACAAAAGATGAGAGGGGTTTTCCTCTGTCTGGGTATCCTGAGCGATGCAAGACAAAGACCTAAACATATTGGTAATTTGGATTCTCTCAATGAAACAACCTAGATAGGGCAGCTATGGTAAAAGCCATTGTCAAAAGGTCCCCCCACCACACACACACACCTTCAGGTCTTTTCTGTAATCCCCAAAATTAAATTTGAAAACACCAAAGGATCAAAATATTTGAGCATCTATTATGAAACATGGCTAGATAAGCAAAGTAAATCTTGGAGGGAAGGGACTACTCAAGTAGACATTTTCAGCCATTATTATACTCAAAGAAAATTTTTGTAAGAAATAAGATCAAGATGCTATACATAATATTTTTAAAAAGAGATTTTGGAATTAAATATAATAAAATATTCAATGAAATATTTGGAAAATAAGCTTAAGAAAGTGATTTTATTTTTTTAATAAAAACAGGTTAAAGGAGGGAAAATAAAAAGGGAAATGTAAAGAAATTAGAGACCCATTTAAGAGGGCCCATGTCAACATTGCCAGAAGTTTATAAAAAAGGTAGAAGACAAAAAATTATCAATGTAACAATGTAAGAAAATTCCCAGGGACTAAAGTAGTACATGAGTTTTCAAACTGAAATAACCAACTTAAGGCCATCACAATGAATGAAAAGATCTCTAGACTATGCTACATCACCATGAAATTTCAAAGTAACGTGCACAGTTAACATAAACCTAACTAAATTTCAAAAGGTGAGAGATACGGAAAAGTATCACTCAAAAATTCTTAAATCACAATGTCTTTAGATTTCTTGATAGAAATTTTTAAAACAAGAAGACAATGGAACATCAGGGGCAAAATTCAGAGGGAATTTTTTTACAATTAGAATTCAATACAGTATTACTAATTGAGGTTAAGTGTAATATTGATATAGTTTCAGACAAGTGAGTTGTCAAAAATTTATACTTCCCATCATAACCCTTTTCCAAATCTTGGAACACATACATACACACACACACACACACACACACACACACACACACTCCCCTACAACTGAGTGAATAAAATAATAAAAAGGAAGTAGGAAATCCAGCCATCTGATTAAACTTAACAGATGGCTGAAGGTAACCCTACAACATTCTAAAAAGAAATCCTAAGATGACCACTCTGACCAGGGTATGAATGAATATAGAATTCCCATTTTCCATAGTAAAAAGTGAATAGATAATGCAAATGAGTAAAAATAAATAGTGACATAGCAACATTAAGAATGGCCTGAGAAAGTTAAAAGTGGCTTCTCTGACAAATAAAAGATAGAGGCTATGGAGGAGGATAACATTAAAAATTGCCTGACTCTTTAAACTATGGTTATATCACGCTTTGGAGGAAAAAATAAACAACACTCAAGTATGCCAAAGACATGGAAAAATATTGATGGTGAGCATACATCTCATCTAAATACACATTAAAGTTTAAACAACTATAGTAATTTTTATTGTAAACCAGAATGAAGTGTTAAAACATTGACTATATAAAATGTATTGCTAGCAAACTAGTGGAAAATGTAAGAGAAAACTAAGAACAATTATGTTAATTGTTAAATTTCACAATAGCATGTAAGTGGTATAATTTCAAAAATTAAAACAAATTGTTTTTAAAAATGACACAAAGTTTCTTCATGCTTTTCAATATTTTTAAAAACGGTATGTAGGAGGAATTTTTATATTAATATCTTTGTTAGGAAGAAATAATTGAAATTCAATATTTATTTCTCTTCATATACAATAAATATGATGTCTTAATTATAAAATAATACAATATGTGTAAGATCATCATAATAAAGTTATCTTTTCTGTCAGTTAACTATATGTGTCATGTATCTAAATGGATTCCCACTTCAACCTGTATATATTCAAAAGATATCTGAAATAGAGTATAGGGCAAATGTTAATAATGTTTATTTCTAAGCCCTGGGATTACTAATGTCATTGTAAAGGGAGATAATTCATTGTTTGCAATTGCTTCTTTATCTTTGATGGAAATGGAAATAAAAATTACAACAAAACTAAGTAAATACATATATATGTATATAAGTATATACCAACCTACTGCCAGAAAATGAATGAGGAGACCGATAGTTATTCCCAGAATTGCCAACACTCCAAACACAATGAGGGCAACTATCCATAGTGGCACCGATGTGTGGGAAGCTGTGACTGGTCTGCCAATAAAAAATATGAGTATGAGAAAATGTCACAAAAATCACAATCTTTTCAAATTTGCATTTCTTTCCTCTTTCCCACACCCTAATAGCTCCACAATTAGTCACAATAGTAGCAAAAGACACAGGAAGGGAAGGAGGGAGGAAGAGAAAAGGAGGAAGAGAGAACAAAAGGAGGATGGGGGAAATATGCTGCCCTAAAACTTATGCTTGAACTTGTGTTTTGAGCTTCAATCCGTTTTTCTGGACGTATGCTATGGAATCACTTTTCCAAGATGTGAGATTTGGTGTCACCTTATCTGTACTTGAGATCAGTTTCCTCCCAGGGTCAGTGGATGGCAGCAGTCAGGATCAATAAGTGAAGATCTTGACAGCTCCGGAGCATGGGGGGAAATGTCTTAGACATTTTTTATATCTAAGCCCATCACGATTTTTTAAAGTATGAGTATGATCCTATATTATTTATAATGGTTTTATGTACAAAGAAAACACACAAATACAGAGTGCTATATGGGCTAGGATAGTGTTTGAGTTTCACTAGTTTATTACAGTGGGTCCAAGGAATCTTTAAAGTGTGCCCGGATGAATCTACAGTTGTATCTTTTCACTGTTTCACTTAGGTAATAGTTGTTGACGGCCTCAGCTCAAGTTTCGAGAAGGATCTGTAAGAATGTCCCAGTCAAAGAAAATGAAAGACAGTCTAGAAAGAAGGAGCCAGCTGGGTGTGGTGGTGCACACCTATAATTCCAGCACTCAGAAGGCTGAGGCAGGAGGATTGCTGTGAGTTTAAGGACAGCCTGGGCTACATAGTGAGTTCAAAGCCAGCCTGAACTACAAAGGAAGACCCTGCCTCAACACCCCCTCCCTGAAAACAAAACAAAATTAAAAACCAGGAAAGAAGGAATCATATGTAATGGTGTAAGAATGATCAGCAATTCATTTTTTTGTAGCCAACTGTGAGTCATAAATCGGCCAAAGATGAAATTGGAGAGCCTGATGGTTTATGTTACCTGTCAGCTTAGGCTAGACTCTGGTGTCCAGCTGTTTGGTCAAACATTGATTTAGGTATTGTGAACAGTTTCCATGGCTGTGATTAAATTTGCAATGAGTTGACTGAAGATTACTTCTGATAGTGTGAGTGAGCCCTATCCAATCAGTGGAAGGCTTTGCCAACAAAAACTGATGTTTTGTGAGAAGAAATTCTACCTTGAGATCATCACATTGAAATCCTGCCTAAGTTTCCAGGCCGCTAGATGTTTCTACAGCCTTTAGACTTGCCATCCTCACAACTATGAGAACTGATTCCTTAGAATAAATCTCTATGTGTGCTTGTGTGTACGCATGTATGTATGTGTACATATGTTTACAAGTAAATTTAAGTATATGTGGCTATATAGATTTACCTTTATCTGTATCTGTCTCAGTCTCAGTCTCTGTCTCTGTCTCCATCTCCTAGTAGCTCTGTTTCTCTGAGAAACCCTGATTGATTGAGAGAAAGCTCACAACAAGAATAAGCCTTGATAACCCACACAAAGATGTTGGGATTTTGACTTCTACATTTGGGATTCTTCAAGTATGACTGGAGAGTGACCTGAATCAGAATTGTCTCGGGGTGCATATTAAATATACAGATTGAGATGTTACTCCAGATCTAGTAAATTTGAATTCTTGGAAGAGCCTGTAAATTTGCAATTTAAACTTTAACTCCCAGGGCACATTGTCAGATTTTTCAGATTAGAAGTGGCAAGTGGGGGAAATGTGTATAATGTACTAGATCAGTGGTGAAGATAAATTGGGTTGATGCTTTCAGGAGAACAAGATTTAAAAAAAGATCTATCCTCTATCGATGTTTTATAATTCTTCTAGAAAGATAACTTCTTACATTTTTCTCAAAGCTTCAACACTATCTGCTCTAGCTTCACTCTTATCTGATAACATTTTTATTCCACTAAGTAAACAGAAGGCATTAGAAAAGTGTGCTCATCATACACCTTCACACGTGGGAACTTGTCCTTTGTACTTCCACAATCTGCCCTTTCCTCACATTTCTGTAAGTGAACTTCCGGTGCCTCTGCTCTATGCCACTCCCATCCCTCTTCCATCTAATCGCATTCTTGAACACTTTGTATTCTGATCATTTCAAATGACTCAGTGTTCTAGGAACCCTCCAGATACCTTCACGCCTCCAGCTGCTCCTTGTGCTCCCCCCACACCTTCTGTCTGCCCACTGAGTTGCCCTCAAACTTCACCACTTCACTTTGTCATCTCCTCTTCATTGATGTCCTTTTTTAGCCAATGCCACTGTGACCTGACATTCAAAATTTCTTTTAAACTTTTATATGTCAGCCTTTCACCTATAGTCACTGGCATGTTGTGGTCCATTTCCTGTTTTTATATCCAGAACACAGCATAGTGCCTAACATCATAGATAATATTTGTGACACACAGGAATGAAGGAAGCCAAGGGGGATGAAGGATAGCTCCATTTTGGAGAGTAACCAGAGCAGAGGAATCCAGATGATATAAAGCTTTCAGAGCTAGGCCAAAGAGTTTTGACTTCATCCTATGGAAATGACCATGAGGTCTTGTAGTGCTTAGGAAAGGAATCTGCATGCATGTATGTGCAGGATCTCATTTGAAAGAAAGGAGAACATAAAAAGAGAAGACCAGCAAGAAAAGACACTATTATAACCCATAGGACTGGAGTAACAAGATATTTAGTGACAGTACTATAAATGAAAAAGAAAATTAGAGAAATGTACAAGGGTAGAATATTTTCCAAAACTTGATAATTAACTATATTCCTAAAGGTTGGGACTATGGTAAAGATGACATAGATTTTACTGCCGGAATAAGGGAAAGTAAAATGAGATAATTTGAGGTGAAAAAAATTATAAAATTTTATATCTTGAAGTTGAAGGGAACTTTAATTTCCAGTACATTATTGAGATTCTTGGATTGGTGGTTACCTGAGGAACCAGGGGTGTAGGTATAAACTTAGGTGTCATCTTAGACAGGGGATAATGAAGCCTGTGAAACTCTATCAGTGTATTAGAGTGTTTATTATGTAAAATATTATATAAAATTAATGTTTCTCTTTCCAAGACTGACAGTGTCACTTCTAATCTAATGATGACTAAAATTTTTATATGCTTGCTCAGTTTTACATTCTCATTGCTTGATGTCTGCCAATATTACAACTCTTTATATTACAAGCTTTTGCTTCTTCACTATTAAATTCCAAATACCGTTGATCTGTTAGTGGAGGGTCACCATTTACCTAGTTGAGTGGGCATTCTGCTTCGCCAAAACAACCTTGCTCCTGCATGGTATACCACACCCTTTCTTCACTTTTCTGTCACCCCTAAACTTTTACTATTTACTTGTTTTTCTAATGATCTCTTTCTTATAGTTTTTCTTTCTTATAGTTTTTATCTCTTTCTAGTTTTATTTTTAAGGCTTTAATTCAAAAGAGGTCTTTCAGAATATGTTCTTATTAAAACAAAAAAATCTAGATTTTAAAAAATTGAGATCAAAGAGATATTTTAGAATTCATCTAAACACCATGGTTTGAAAACAGAAGAATGAAATGACTTCTTAATTCTCTATTTTATTTCACTAAAATTACTATAGGATTTTATGTTTCTATTCCCTTCCCTTTTTTCCATCTTGATTCTTTCTTGTCACACAGCTCAGATGTTTTTTCTGGGTTTTATTTGCCTTTGAGCCATAACCTAAACCCCTACAAACCATAACAGAGATCATATAGCTGCCTAAAAATAACAGATACTTTTGAAGCAGAAAACTCTGCTATTAGTCAATTTCTGGTAATTCGTATATAATTTTTTTCTGAAAAATCACAAAAAATTACTGGGAGCACACGGAGTATAATTTATATCTTGTTATAAAAATTCCTAGACTTGAAATTCTCATTTATTTAGCAAGGATCAAAAGCATAGCTTTCTTCTGAGATTTTTTTCCCATTTGATAATATAGGTCTAAGAAAAAATTTGAAATTTATGAAATTTGGTTTTGAAATCTTTACTTTCAATTCTAATGTTCGTTTTCTTCTTTTGAACTAGTCATCATTCAAGCACCCATATGCAACCATGAAGTTCAGTAGGGTCTCAAATAAACCCGCAGAATCAGCCATATTTCCAAATCCCTATGAGGTCAGCTGTGTAATTAGATTAATGCCTCATTCTGAGAAGATAATCACAGAGTCAGGGGTCAAATCTGTTCTAAGGAACTAGGAGTCCATGGAAACAATGGCTTAATCCTTTGAAATCTTTCAGGTTATGGCTTCATACAAGCATAAAATGGTGAAAGTAAAGAAGAAGGTACCCTAAAAATAAAATATATCATATATTCAGCATAAAGGTGATGAATATCTTATGGGCAAAACAGAACAAATTAATCATGCTTTTATTTTCCATTTTTATATGTTTTATCACTTTTTATTAACAAATGAAAGATGTGAACAACAAGAAAACAGGGGTATGAAAGAAATAACATCTTTAATAAAAAAGAAATCATATGACAGTAAGTTATTTTAATTCAAGAAAAAATGATCCTAATATATTCTATCACAGTGAGTGTGCCTTTTCTAATCATGATTCAGATGAATAGTGATATTGTGAATATGTGCATATATGTTATTTGCTTGTATAAATGAAGGCTCAGCTCTTCACCTCAATACATATATTTAATGATGTACATTTTAGACAAATATTTATGTCAGTTATACATTTATCTGAATATTAAATATTTAAGATTAAATTCAGTTAATTTGGATACATTTTATGTATTTTGAGAATTACTTGCAAGCTGAAAGCATCTTCCTAAAATTTGTCATAATTAGCTACCTAGATACTTTAAAGGAGATAGCACATGCCTATACATAATTATACTATTCTGGTTCATGAAAATTTACTATGTAAACATATCTGGATTTTCACATGATTCTATAGAGAACATCTGTCTGCACAGCAGCGTACTGTAAGGTTGATTAAAGCTCGACAGAAAACACGAAATATTAAATAAATACAAGGAAGTCGTGGTCACTATCACTATCTTTCTGAGAAGAAAATGTTCTCTCTTCTACCTCCTCACCAGTTGACAACAGTCCCACAGTCACACTATTTTTTATTTACAGGATATTAATCTTCACGTGACTTTTCTGAAGCATTCCCCAAATAATTATTTAAAACTATAGATTCCAGATACAAATACATGTTTGTGACAAGGTTGTCTCCATGCAGAAAATCCAAAATGCTGTGGGAAAACTGCACATTTCGTGCCTGAATTCAATTGCTTTGCTGCAACCCTGGGGTGGGAGTCATGTTGAGGGAAGAGTGTTAATTCCATTTCTGTCAGAATTTTAAGCAAGCAAATTTCCACTTACCTGTACATGATGTGTTGATGTAATGGTTGCTGCTGTTAGTAAAGATACAGGAAACTTCTGCACTCCATTTGTCCTGACCAGTGGTTCTCAGGTAAATGTGCTAACCACAAAGATAGTTGAGATTTTAAGGGCTGGGCACAATAACAGAAAGCAATTAAAGGGAAACTTGTTTAACAAGTTGATGACAGCTGTGGATCTATGGTTTCAAGGAAGAAATGAAAATTCTCTGAGGTGGATACTGAGAAAAAAAAACAAAACAATGGATATTACTTAAATTGGTCATCTGAGAGGCCCACCCAAAAAATACCACCACGGACCGGTGAGTCAGGGCTCTGACTCAGATGTTCTCTCAGCTCTCATGGCATGAGTTCTTCCTCAGCAAAACCAGCTGTCCCCATCAGGGCAGTCTGAAAAAGGACTTAAGTTCTCTTGTTTTGTATAAATAATTCTATGTCATTCCTCATTTCAAATACACTTAATTTAAAAAATTTCACTGGGGCTCTGTACATATTTTTGCAGGAATGGATTTACAAAAGAAAAAGAAGGTTCTGAAGTAAGAAATAGTTCTATTTTGTTAATTCTTGACAGGAAAAGGAACTGGTTAACTAGTAAAGAGTTGTTTTACTACATGAATATGGATTAGATTTTTGAGTGAAACACCAAATTCTTGAGAAAATAAAACCTTAGGAGGCCATTTATATATTTGGAATACATATATCTAGGTTCTTGGCCATTTTCATATAGTATTTTTTAGGGGGGTACCAGGGATCTAACTCAGGACCTTGTGCTTGCAAGGTAGGCGTGGTGCCACTGGGATAAATCCCTGGCCCATTTTCATATAGTATTTAAATAAACTTTCCATTTGTTCATTTAATAAATATTCATGGTTCTGGGGCTACACACTGTTCCTCATACTGGGAATTGAACAATAAAAGTTCCTGCCTTCACGGACCTTACACTCCACTGGGAAAGATAGACAAATATTAACAAAATAGTGAATACATTATTTCATGAGAGATAATTACATGTGCCATGCAGAAAATAAAGCAGGATGATTGTGGAGAAAGCAGTGAGTTGCGTGAGTGGCTCTCTACAAGGTGGACTTCTCTAAGGAGGAGGCATTAAGCAGAGATCTGAATGCTGATAGTAACTGGTGTGATTCTTCTTCCTGAAGCACATATCCATGGCATTAATCTATTTTAAAGAAACTTTACAACTCTGACCAGCTTTCTGGATAAAACATAAACCTCTTTGGTTGCTATTCTATTCCTATTAGTATGTCATCTCTCTTTACCCACCTTGTTCCATAGTGGTATGGTTAACAGAAAGGGCCTGGCCTCTATTCCAATGCCAGGTCCACTTTGTCACAGGTGAAAATGTGGGATAAAAGGACTATACTTGTAAGGCTCTTATATCAACTGCACCCATGCAAATCAAGTGCTTTGTACAAATTCCAGAACATTGTGTTATCTTAACAATGATTTTACCAAAATCTTGATGACTTGAGAGATTTCTCTCTATCCACTTTCTTGAGTAGCAAGTGATTCCTACCTTCATAACTTTATTCGTGTTCTCTAACACCAACAGCCTCACAATCATCATTTCTACCCCATCCTTCACAATCACAGCTAGCTGCCAATTCCTTCATGAAGACTTCCTTGTAAAGCTTTACTGGCTTTGATCCTCCCCCCCCCCCGAACTCTAATTACTCCCATCAGCAGTCATTTGGTGTTTAGTCATCTGCTACGATTGTGATTCCTGTTTAAATCTGTTCTGTGGATGAGATGTCCTTTCACCCAGTGCAAACAGCTTGAATTTGAAGGCAAGAACAATACTGTGTTTTTCTTTCTGACGTGCTCATCACAGTGCTTAGTATCTAGATGGTACTAAGTAAATAAGATATGTTTCAGATACATGATTAGTATCCAAAGTATATTGGATGCATCCTAAAAGTGAGTAAAATATTTCAAAAACTCACTGTTAAGGATATATAGGTTTGTAACAGGGTATTTATAGGAGAAATGCAGATGGCCAGTTAAAGTACAAAGGTTATTGATCTTATTATTAGTAATTACAAAAATATAGAGTAAAACTATCATAAAGCTTTAGTAAAATGTTTTAGAAGTTAAAAATATTTACTATTTCAAGATTTTGTGGGAATGTGGAGAAATGGACACTCATACATTGATGTCTGGAGTTAGAATTGAGATAACAAATTTTTTGTATATCCTTTTATTGGTACATTTTAGGTGTACAATATAATGACATTCATCATTGGAGATATGCACCTTTACATACTCTCTTGGTTCTTATTATTCCCCCTTCCCCTGCCCTCCCTTCAACTCCTCCATCCCTACCTATTTACAAAGACTTTGTTTCC